TTAACTTCTGCCTCTTCTTGTTAACCAATATCATCTTACATTCTATATTTTCTATCAACATTATTTTTCTTTTCTTTGCTGTAAATTTTATTTTAGTCTTTCTCATTCATACTTTTCCCCTCTTTCCCATCTTTTCTTCATCTGCTTATATATTTTTTTATTCCCCGAGTTTTCTTCAGTTTTCTGGCCTTGTTCCTTTGTCTATTTTATAATCATTATTTCTTCTTCCTTGACGTTTCCTTATTCATGTATTTTTTCTTATCTTTACTTATCTCTCTTATATCTAGTTATTTTTCTAATCTCCAATTTAACCTACAAAAATTTCGTCTCTTCCACTGGCGTATTTCTTCATTTGTAAATGATCCTCATCTTTCTCGTTCCTTTCCTTTGTATATCTTCATTCTATTTTCTCATTCTCCCTCATTTCAACTATTATCCTTTCCTTCTCCTTCATTTGTGTACTTCCTCATTCGTACATTAACCCCATTTTTTTCTTCCAAAATCTCTTTTCTTTTTTCTCACCCCTTGACTTAACCCTTATCTTTCTCTTCGCTTTCCTTTGTACATTTTTATTCCACTTTTATTTTCACCTCCTCTCTGTACTTACTCACATCTCCGTGTTGTTTCCTTCCACAGTCCAAAGGCAAGGTTGAGATGCCTAACTTGCCCAAGCCTCTGACACTGGAGGAGAAAAAGTTTCTCCTAGCTGTGGAGCGAGGTGACTGCCAAACCACGCGAAAGTAAGTTCAGTTTTTATATATTATTCTGTCCGTCTTTAATTCCGTTTTGCCTCTATCTTAACTTCAATCTCCAATCGCTTTCACCTTTTAATTTACTGATTATTCCGTCTAATAATTATATCAACTACAGTCAAATACAACAACAGACCGTAACAATAGAGCCAACAGTCTGCAGAAAACCATTTAAACACGTCCTCCTCCTCCTCCTCCTCCTTCCCCAGGATGTTACAGAAGGCTCATAGGCACTCTAACTACATGAACATGAATTGCGTAGACCCTCTTGGGCGAGGCGCTCTCCACATGGCCATCTCCAACGAGAACCTGGAGATGGTGGAGATGTTGGTGGTGATGGGGGTAGAGACGAGGGATGCTCTACTCCACGCCATCGACTCCGAGTTCGTGGAGGCTGTGGAAGTCCTGCTGGAGCACGAGGAGGTCATCCACAAGGATGGCGAGCCCTACGTAAGTCCTTATCTGTCTTCTCCTTTTCTCTCTCTCTCTCTCTGTTTCACGTTTTCTCCGTCTGTCTGTCAGTCTGTTGATGTGCCTGTCTGTCTATTAGTCATCCAGTTACTCTGTTTGTCTACCTGTCTATCTGTCTGTCTGTTAGTCAGTCTCTCTCTCTCTCTCTCTCTCTCTCTCTCTCTCTCTCTCTCTCTCTCTCTCTCTCTCTCTCTCTCTCTCTCTCTCTCTCTCTCTCTCTCTCTCTCTCTCTCTCATCTGACTAGTTCTTCTTGTAGTTGAGACTTGGATAAAGCGATCTCAACAATAAAAAAGGCATCAAGTTCAATAAAATTTTCAACCTCCTTACTTCAACCTCTCTCTCTCTCTCTCCCTTCCCCCGCCCACGCCTGCAGTCTTGGGAAAAGGCAGACCGCAACACGTCCGCCTTCACGCCCGAGATTACGCCTCTCATCTTGGCCGCCCATCGTGATAACTATGAGATCCTGAAAATCCTTCTGGATCGGGGAGCTATGTTGCCCATGCCCCATGACATTAGGTAAGCCCGTTTTCTGTGGCTTTCTGTGGCTTCTGTGCTGCGCGATTTTCTTTTGTTTTTTCGTAACGTTTCTCGTCTTTTCTATTCTTTTTTATTCATCTTATTTTTTTTATTTTATTGCATTTCTGTTCTGTTCTTTTCTTTTTTTATTCAATCTTGTTTTTTTCTTTTGTATTCAATCTTGTTTTTTCTTTTTTTTCTTCTTTTGATTTTTTTTATTATGATCGTGCTGTTTTAATGTTCCAGGGAGGGAATGGAGTGCTTGGGATATGATGCTAATAATAACGTAATGATGATGATAATGAAAAAAATATATGGATGTGAAAATAGTAATAATCATACTTATGAAAGTATTTTCCATCGCAATAAGGAGAATAATAGTGGATATTACAACAACAACAGTTCGTGGGAAGGAATTAAATATTTATAAAGAATGCTATGAAATACTCGTACATGTTGGCCATTCATGATATAAAAATCGTTTTGTTTTACTGTGGTTTGCATGATATTATTCAGTCAAACTTTATTATTGGATTTTTGAAGGTCAAAGTTGATAGGCAGGAACATTTTCTTTTTTTAGAAAATGAGAGTGCATTGTTTGCAGTGGCATGGAATACCTTTATGAAAATTTATTTTTATATAATGTTTTTCCCTGAATAGAAATATCAGATATCTGGAAAAACACACAAACAAATTCATAAATCCCCTCCACTGCCAAAGATTTCATCCTAAACAGTTCTAATTTACTCAAAAAAAAAAATCAGAGTGCAAAAGGGTTTAGTCCCGCTCCCTCTGAGTGAAAACCAGTGCTGTCGATAGCCTTGTGAGGGAGGATAGATATAAATTCCATATAAATAACCTTACTTTTCCTCTTTAATCATTCTGTTTGTTGGTTAGTTGGTTTCTTATTACTGAAGAATGGCCATCATGTTACTTAAAGTTATTAAGGAATATTCTGGGAGGCTAAAACACAGCGCCATATCTCACATTAATGGACAAACTTTTATAATATGGCACCATTATTTCCCTTACGTGTACATGAATAAACTTGTTGTTGACAACGTGATAATGGTAAGGAAACACAGCGTACCATAATCATTGTAGTAATGATAATAACTATAATTATACTAACTAATAATGATAAAAGAATCACATGAAAAATTATGATGACCTATAATGATGCAATAAACTGGTACTTAACAATAACGATACTAATTACGTCCCTCCCTCCGAACCTCTACCCACCCCCCACCCCTTTCGCGCCAAACCTTCCACCCCCAACTCTCCCCTATTACTTCCCCACTAACCCTTCTACACTAACTCCTCTCCATTCCCTAACAAACTCTCCCTCTCTTCCCTCTCTCCCTCGCCTTCTCTCCTCTCCCTCCCCCTCTCATCTCATCCCCCCTTCTCGTCTCCCTCCCTCCTCCTCTCCTCTCCTCTCCTCTTCCCTTCTCTCTCCCTCCCCCTTCTCCCCTCCTCTCCCCCTCTCCCCTTCTCTCCCCCTCCCTTCTCCCTCCCTCCCCTCTCCTCTCCTCTCCCCTTCTCCCTTTCCTTCTCCCTCCTCCCCCTCCCCCTCTCCCCCTCCTCTCCCTTCCCCTTCTCCCTCCCTCCCTCCCCTCCTGTCTCCCCCCTTCTCCACCAGGTGCGGCTGCCCCGACTGTATCAAGACCTCCTCCGAGGACTCCCTCCGCCACTCCCGCTCTCGCATCAACGCCTACCGCGCCCTCGCCTCTCCCTCCCTCATCGCCTTGTCCTCCACCGACCCTATCCTCACGGCCTTCGAGCTCTCCTGGGAACTGAAGAACTTGGCCAACACCGAGCACGAGTTCAGGGCTGAGTACACGGTGAGTTAGGGTGGGGTAGGGTGGGTTTAAGGGGGTGGGTAGGGTGGGTTAAGGGGGTGGGTAGGGTGGGTTAAGGGGGTGGGTAGGGTGGGTTAAGGGGGTGGGTAGGGTGGGTTTAAGAGGGTGGGTAGGGTGGGTTAAGGGGGTGGGTAGGGTGGGTTAAGGGGGTGGGTAGGATTGGATTAGATGGGTGGGTAGGGTGGGTTAAGGGGGTGGGTAGGGTGGGTTTAAGAGGGTGGGTAGGGTGGGTTAAGGGGGTGGGTAGGGTGGGTTAAGGGGGTGGGTAGGGTGGGTTAAGGGGGTGGGTAGGGTGGGTTAAGGGGGTGGGTAGGGTGGGTTAAGGGGGTGGGTAGGGTGGGTTTAAGAGGGTGGGTAGGGTGGGTTTAAGAGGGTGGGTAGGGTGGGTTTAAGAGGGTGGGTAGGGTGGGTTTAAGAGGGTGGGTAGGGTGGGTTAAGGGGGTGGGTAGGGTGGGTTTAAGAGGGTGGGTAGGGTGGGTTAAGGGGGTGGGTAGGGTGGGTTTAAGAGGGTGGGTAGGGTGGGTTTAAGAGGGTGGGTAGGGTGGGTTTAAGAGGGTGGGTAGGGTGGGTTTAAGAGGGTGGGTAGGGTGGGTTTAAGAGGGTGGGTAGGGTGGGTTTAAGAGGGTGGGTAGGGTGGGTTAAGGGGGTGGGTAGGGTGGGTTAAGGGGGTGGGTAGGGTGGGTTAAGGGGGTGGGTAGGGTGGGTTTAAGAGGGTGGGTAGGGTGGGTTAAGGGGGTGGGTAGGGTGGGTTTAAGAGGGTGGGTAGGGTGGGTTAAGGGGGTGGGTAGGGTGGGTTTAAGAGGGTGGGTAGGGTGGGTTTAAGAGGGTGGGTAGGGTGGGTTTAAGAGGGTGGGTAGGGTGGGTTAAGGGGGTGGGTAGGGTGGGTTTAAGAGGGTGGGTAGGGTGGGTTTAAGAGGGTGGGTAGGGTGGGTTAAGGGGGTGGGTAGGGTGGGTTAAGGGGGTGGGTAGGGTGGGTTAAGGGGGTGGGTAGGGTGGGTTTAAGAGGGTGGGTAGGGTGGGTTTAAGAGGGTGGGTAGGGTGGGTTTAAGAGGGTGGGTAGGGTGGGTTTAAGAGGGTGGGTAGGGTGGGTTAAGGGGGTGGGTAGGGTGGGTTTAAGAGGGTGGGTAGGGTGGGTTAAGGGGGTGGGTAGGGTGGGTTAAGGGGGTGGGTAGGGTGGGTTTAAGAGGGTGGGTAGGGTGGGTTTAAGAGGGTGGGTAGGGTGGGTTTAAGAGGGTGGGTAGGGTGGGTTTAAGAGGGTGGGTAGGGTGGGTTAAGGGGGTGGGTAGGGTGGGTTAAGGGGGTGGGTAGGGTGGGTTAAGGGGGTGGGTAGGGTGGGTTAAGGGGGTGGGTAGGGTGGGTTTAAGAGGGTGGGTAGGGTGGGTTTAAGAGGGTGGGTAGGGTGGGTTTAAGAGGGTGGGTAGGGTGGGTTAAGGGGGTGGGTAGGGTGGGTTTAAGAGGGTGGGTAGGGTGGGTTTAAGAGGGTGGGTAGGGTGGGTTTAAGAGGGTGGGTAGGGTGGGTTAAGGGGGTGGGTAGGGTGGGTTTAAGAGGGTGGGTAGGGTGGGTTTAAGAGGGTGGGTAGGGTGGGTTTAAGAGGGTGGGTAGGGTGGGTTAAGGGGGTGGGTAGGGTGGGTTAAGGGGGTGGGTAGGGTGGGTTTAAGAGGGTGGGTAGGGTGGGTTTAAGAGGGTGGGTAGGGTGGGTTAAGGGGGTGGGTAGGGTGGGTTTAAGAGGGTGGGTAGGGTGGGTTAAGGGGGTGGGTAGGGTGGGTTTAAGAGGGTGGGTAGGGTGGGTTTAAGAGGGTGGGTAGGGTGGGTTTAAGAGGGTGGGTAGGGTGGGTTTAAGAGGGTGGGTAGGGTGGGTTTAAGAGGGTGGGTAGGGTGGGTTTAAGAGGGTGGGTAGGGTGGGTTAAGGGGGTGGGTAGGGTGGGTTTAAGAGGGTGGGTAGGGTGGGTTAAGGGGGTGGGTAGGGTGGGTTTAAGAGGGTGGGTAGGGTGGGTTTAAGAGGGTGGGTAGGGTGGGTTTAAGAGGGTGGGTAGGGTGGGTTAAGGGGGTGGGTAGGGTGGGTTTAAGAGGGTGGGTAGGGTGGGTTTAAGAGGGTGGGTAGGGTGGGTTAAGGGGGTGGGTAGGGTGGGTTTAAGAGGGTGGGTAGGGTGGGTTTAAGAGGGTGGGTAGGGTGGGTTTAAGAGGGTGGGTAGGGTGGGTTAAGGGGGTGGGTAGGGTGGGTTTAAGAGGGTGGGTAGGGTGGGTTAAGGGGGTGGGTAGGGTGGGTTTAAGAGGGTGGGTAGGGTGGGTTAAGGGGGTGGGTAGGGTGGGTTTAAGAGGGTGGGTAGGGTGGGTTTAAGAGGGTGGGTAGGGTGGGTTTAAGAGGGTGGGTAGGGTGGGTTTAAGAGGGTGGGTAGGGTGGGTTAAGGGGGTGGGTAGATTTTTAGCCTTTATGTTATTCTTAATGTTCGTTCGTTTGTTTTTGGGTTGGTTGTTTTTGTCAGTTTTTTTGTTTGTGTAATAGTTCATGTTTATATACTCTTACTATATTTTTTCTCATATCTGTGCTGTTAACTAGTTAAGAGTTACGAGTGGTGATGATAATGACATTAATGATATATATTATATTCATATTAGAAGTATCTATAATAAAAATTAGTTCAGCCTATACAAAACCACATTAAAAGAAAGAAAAGATGTATTTCAAGATATTGTAACCGCGCAAATAAATACCAATAATAGCATACAACACAAATTAAAATTATAAACGTCGTGCCACTATAACTCAGTCACACGTATAGGAAGAAGTGACACAGTAAATAATAAATCGTTACATCTAAATAAACAGAGATATAAGTAAATGGTAAATAACTTCTCAAAAGCAAACAAACACCTGAAACACCCGTTTAACCACTAAGGTAAAATAAGATTTTCATCATGACTAATTCAATCTTCTGTCTCACCATTTGTTTTTATTTGTTTGTCATCGCCATCATCATCATCACCATCATCCTTTTATCAACACCATCATCACCACCATCAGTTCTTCGCCATCAGCATCATCATTTCATCACCATCATCAGTTGATCCCCAACATCAGTTCATCATCTCTATCACCACCATCAGTCCTTCGCCATCTTCATCACCATTTCATCATCATCACCAGCATCACCCTTTTCCTCTTCATTTCGCAGTTCGTGGCTCACCCCAATATCCAACAACTGCTGGCCGCTCTCTGGTACGAAGGTCTCCCAGGCTTCAGGAGGAAAGCCCTCATTGAGAAGTGTCTGGAGATTTTCAAGGTAATGGCGATTTCCTGAGGGGGATTTTCTGAGGGGGGTTTCCTGAGGGGGGTTTTCTGAGGGGGATTTTCTGAGAGGGGTTTTCTGAGGGGGGTTTCCTGAGGGGGGTTTTCTGAGGGGGATTTCCTGAGGGGGGTTTCCTGAGGGGGATTTTCTGAGGGGGGTTTCCTGAGAGGGGTTTCCTGAGGGGGGTTTTCTGAGGGGGGTTTTCTGAGCGGGATTTTCTGAGGGGGGTTTTCTGAGGGGGGTTTTCTGAGGGGGATTTTCTGAGGGGGGTTTCCTGTGGGGGATTTGCTGAGGGGGATTTCCTGAGGGGGATTTCCTGAGGGGGGTTTTCTGAGGGGGGTTTCCTGAGGGGGGTTTTCTGAGAGGGATTTCTTGTCATGGGGATCGATTGCTTTTTTTGTCAGGGCTGTTGTTGGCCGTTTTTTAATTTTTGTTCTAAGTTCTTCTCTTGTTCATTTTACTAATGATTATATCGTGGCTCTGTTTCCCTTGTGTTATGATCTCTGTTCAGTTTTATTGCGACGGTCTTCCGTTTACTCTTCTTTACATTTTGTTCTCTGTCCATTCTCGTTATAAAGTTCTTCTGTTCACTCTTGTCATGAGTCCCTCCTGTTAAATGCAACTGCAATGTTCTTCGCTTATATTGTAACTCTTTTGCAACATTTATAACTTTTATAACGTTTTATATAACGCTTATAACTCTTTTATAACTTTTATAACACTTTATAACATTCATATAACTCTTTCTAACGCTCTCTATAACTCTTTTCTATCTCTCATATAATCCTTTTCTAGCACGCATATAACTCTTTTCTAACACGTGTATAACCCTTTTCTAACACGCATATAACTTTTCTAACACGTGTATAACCCTTTTCTAACACGCGTATAACTCTTTTCTAACACGCGTATAACTTTTTTCTAACACGCGTATAACTCTTTTCTAACACGTGTATAACTCTCTTCTAACGCGTATAACTCTTTTATAACACGCATATAACTCTTTTATAACACGTGTATAACCCTTTTCTAACACGCGTATAACTCTTTTATAACACGCGTATAACCCATTTCTAACACGTGTATAACTCTTTTATAACACGCGTTTAACCCATTTCTAACACGCGTATAACTCTTTTTTATAAATCTTTTCTAACACGCGTATAACTCTTTTCTAACACGCGTATAACTCTTTTCTAACACGCGTATAACTCTTTTCTAACTCTCTCTATAACTGTTCTAACTCTCTCATAACACTCTTCCAGGTCGTGGCTCTGTTTCCCCTGTACTGTGTTCTTTACATCCTGACCCCGAATAGCCCTACTGGAGCACTTATCCGAACACCGTTTATGAAGTTCCTTATCCACTCTGCCTCCTATCTCTTCTTCTTGCGTGAGTTTTGCCTTTTTATTCTTTGTTCTTGTTATCGCTTTCTGTGTGTCGTATTCTTTTCATGCGTGTATGTTTTTTTTTTTAATCTTTTGTGTGTGTGTTTGTTATCTTTTCGTGTTTTGTGTGTATTTTTTTTCTCTCTTTTTTGTGACTTTTATCTGTAAATGTTTTTTTTTCTGTCACGTATGCTTCTTCCATTACTATCTTTATTTTTTATGTATTCTGTGATGTATCTTTATCGCTTGTTTTTTTTTATACCAGTTATTTCTTTGTTTCTTGCATTCTTCTTGTGTGAATTTCTTTCTATCTTTATCTGATATTTTTTCGTGTCTTTTCTATTCTGCTAATGTGATTTACTTTTTTTTTCTACCTTTCTCGGTCTCTCGTATTTCTTTTAGTCTCGTTCTTCTTTTTAATCGTATGCTTATTCTTAATCTCCTTGTTATTTGGTTATAACGTGTCTATTCAAGCCTATTTGCTATTTTTTTTAATTATTTTTCTCCACACATTATCGTTTTCTGTATTTTTTTTTCTGAATATTTTCTTTCTTCTATTTCACTGATCCCAAAAAAAATCACTTTTTTCCATAAATCTGCATAGTCGGGTCTTCAGTATAAGCCACACAATAGCATTTGTTTTCCCCATAAATATTCAAACTTTTGTATTAGGACGAAAAAATATTTTTTTTACGGCACGTTGAAAAAATAAGTCTTTTTTAACATTATCCATCACATATTTATAAATTATCATCATTCTTATTTGCTTGTTTGTTTATTTTTATTTAGATCTCGTGTTATTTTGTTTTATTTGATGTACATATTTTGAAAAAAAAATATCATTACTGCATATTTTTCTTCTTTCATACATATTTATCTGTTTTTTTATCGTCCATATCTTCTTGCGAAAGAAAATTATCATTACTTCGATTTATCTATCTATTTCATATCTGTATCATGACTATATCAGTTTATCTTTTTGATATCCTTGCAGTTTTTTTTCTCTCTTTCCACATCATTCTCAACTTTTCATCATATTAGGTAAACGTGCAGTTTCTTTGTCCCCACCAGTACTGTATATTATTTTTCCCTCTGTATAATCATCACTGTCACCTGTTCATCTTTTTTATCTCATTATTATCATCCCTATCATCTGTTCATCATTTCCTTACCTCATGACCAACATCTGTTCTCATATCTACCTCCTATTCATCACCATCATTTCATCTCCTCATTACCACTACCATTACCACTACCATCCTTTCATCTTCTTCAGTCTCATCATCAATTTCTCTCTCATCCCTTCCTCTTCTCCCACCTCATCATCAACCTCTTCCCATTCCTCCATCTCCCATGACACCATCAACATCCCTCTCATCTCCTTATCTTAATTACACCTTTCTCTCCCTCCCTTCTTCCTTCCATCTCCCATGACACCATCAACATCCCTCTCATCTCCCTATCTTAATCTCACCTCTCTCTCCCTCCCTTCTTCCAGTCATGTTGATCTTGGTATCGGTCCGCTTCGAAAACTTGGTGATATGGCTCTTCGGAACTGAGAATATGAGACGAAACTTAGAGGAGGCGATGCGGAAACAGCGTGGAAACCTCCCGACGCCGACCGAGTGTCTTGTGGTACTGTGGGTTTTCGGTGAGTCTCGAGTTGGGGAGGGAGGATGGGTAGGGTGAGAATGGGGAGGGGGGAGGGTAGTGGGGGTT